TGTAGTAAAAGTCCCCTTAAACCACTATCGGTGTGGAGTTAGAATTAGTTTACAATTAATTCACACGAGGTGAATGTAGACAATCAAATATAAGAATAAATACACCGCACTGAGCCTCAGGGAGACTCAGTAGGTTTTAGTATCGTATTTTAATGTGTTTACTACACTCGGAGGGAGTGGTTTGTGCGATTCATTGAAGATTGAGTGTGAATGTTGTTCATTGCGGAATTGGACGTGGTAGTCAAGAGAGGAGCATGCTACCCTAGGTCCAAGTGGGTTGTATGGGTTGCGGCCGTATCTGATTGCCCCCCTGGTGTAGTGTTGTCAGAGATATTTTGGCGGTTCGTGGAAGATTGAGTGTGAATGTTGTTCACTGTGGAAGTGGGCATGGTATTAGAGGGAGGAGTATGCTCCTCTGGAAGGGCCAAGTGGGCTGTATGGGAGGTCACTGTGTCTGATTGCTCCCCCGGTGTCGTGTTATTAGGTGTAAGTGTTGAGGGTGCTAGTGTGGTGGACTCCCCTGGAAGAATAGTATTGTGATTGACGTTGGCAAGGGCACTGTGTTGATTGGATTCGTTATATGCATTCATCTGACATGCGCGTTGACGTGTCATGCGCATATTGTTGGGGAGTGTGGGTTCATTGAGCGTTCCTGCATTGTTGCGGGGTGGAAGTAGGAGTCCTCGTAGGGCGCGAGAGGTTGGATGTTTGGTGAGGTGTGTGTGAAGGGACTTGTTGATTGTGCTTTCCAAAGTATTGGGGTCGGACATAGTGGAGTCAGATGTAGTAGTATGGGTTGGTAGTCGAACGGAGGGAGTGGTGGTACGTGGACTAGGAGTAAGGAGGAGCACGCGAGTGCGTGGATGTGAGGCACGCTGGTTGGTGGTGGAGGAAGGATTAGTGGTGGCGATATCAATCAGGGTACTGGCGTCGCAGGTACTGAGTGCGCCAGGTTGTGGTAATGCATCGTTGGGGTGTAGAGCTAGCGTCAGTTCACGGATTGTCGGTATGTCTATTATGTCGGTGGGGAAGTGAGGAACCGGTGTAGTACCCACCAAAGTCCAAGTGGGGAAGACGTGATAATTAAACTTGACGTCTCGTGCATGGCAAATTCTACCGCTTTTGAGATCGAGTATTTTGCATTCGTTGTAATATTTGGATTGCCAATCATGTCCAAGGTATACGCCTATGTTCGCTTTGTCGGACTTGACAGCCGAATACGTGCATGTGCTTCAGGCGTTCGGTAGGTTTAATGCCCCAGAGGTCTTCCCAAGACGACTTGTTGTCTTTGTTGTATTTATTGAAGTGGACTGATGTTGTGAGTTTAGCGCACTGGAGTGCTTTAACCCATATACAATCTGGTAAGCCGGCTTGTTTCATAATGGACAACATGAGCTCGTGAATAGTGCCGTTGGTGCGTTCGACGAGGCCATGGAGTTAGGGAGTATTTGTAGGAACGTATGTGACGCGAACGTGCTGTAATGTGTTAATTCTGTTGAATTCTTCGGACACAAATTCGCCGCCACGGTCACACTTGAGTTCTCGTAGGTTCGCGAGATAGTCTTTGCCAATATCCGTATAGAATAGATGTAAGGTATCACTAGCGTCGTCCTTATGCTTGAGCGGATATACAAAAGGTTGACCACTATGAGAAATGAGCATCGACGAATTTAATATTGCATGTATATCCAGAGGGTGACATGAAATATATTACCAACTGGTGGTAACGTAGCTATGTCTTTTTGGCGACGCGAGACGGGGCGTCATCGCATCTTCCCATGTGCATGGGGACTGCATAAGGTAAGCGTATGTGGGTGGATCATAGAATCAGCTTCAGCGTCCAGTAACGCAGTTGTCGGCGGGACTGCGTGTTTAGTGCTGCCCACTTTGGCGATGCATATGTATCATTACTTAGAGAGACCAGTAACTGTATTGCCACGTTGGAGGAACGGGTCGGTAGTAGTTGGTACAATTTCTACATGCGAGTGTAATTGTAGGAGTGTTTGGTTATAACTGCGTGTATTAGGCTGTAGGGGGAAACCATTGTGATAAGGTCATCCTCAGCCTGGAGTTTGAGGAGTGTCTCTCGCCACTCCTTTCGTCAGAACAGTATATTGCCATAAAGGTGTTTGCTGGGCTGACACTAGGATTGGCTGAAGGCATCGTGGAGTGGTGCGTCTGCCGACATGCTGCAATATATCGGGACTTGTGCACTGTGTACCTCAGCAAGGAGGTCAATATCGACAGCACCAAACACATCAACAGCATGTTTTTGGAAGAGGATTGGGTTCAACTTCCAGTCATCGTGAGAGGGGTGTGTGGGGGGGGGGGATGTCGAACGGATAAATAAGGACTCTCCCAAGACCGGGAAGTGTAACGCGTTGAGTAGGCATTATTAGACTCTAATCTGGGAACCGGTAAGTCTTCGACCCCATCAGTGGTAGAGTGAATTTGTACCACGGCCCCAGAGTCAATAAGGGTAGCAGTGATAGGTAAATGTGGTGCGGGCCCTGACGGAGGTTCATGGAGTGTATATAGTTCATAATGGTACTCAGGTGTGAGAATATGTACAGATTGAGTACGTTGTGATAGGGCCCCGTAATTTCAGGGTTTTCATACATGCTGTGGCGTTGTGGCCTGATTTGTTGCATTTAGTGCACTGAAGTGTCGTGCATTTGACAAGGCATTTGTTGCTGTTATGGTCCTTGGAACCACATTTTCGACAGATGGATGTGGGGCAACCGAAGATACTGTGGTCAGTACTGCTGCAGAGTGGGCATTTTATTTCGTGTGGGACTTTCTTGTCTTTGGTGTCTTTATTGATGAAGGCGTTGCTGCCTGTTGATGCGATATACCTTATTGACATCAAGTTTATCCGTATCAAGGGCAAAGATATTGGAACGATACTGTGGCCAATACTGCTGCAGAGTGGGCATTTTATTTCGTGTGGGACTTTCTTGTCTTTGGTGTCTTTATTGATGAAGGCGTTGCTGCCTGTTGATGCAATATACCTTATTGACATCAAGTTTATCCGTATCAAGGGCAAAGATATTGGAACGTAGTAGTTGATATTCAGCGCCGAGACTGTACATATTCTGAATTTCGATACGTGTGTCATCTAGTTCAGCTTGGAGGAGAGCGCTAATATTATCGGCCGAGCACTCTGTTTGTTCATAAAGTTGAGATTGAGCCTGTTTGTAGTGTTTCATATTTGTCGGAGAGTAGCTTGTGATCTTCACTCAATTCAACGTTGTGTTGTTGGTATCCGGCGAGATCGGTTTCAAGTTTTTGTGCTTGTTGTTTGGCGTGATAGAAATTGCTACGTGTAACTATCAGGTGTGCTATTGCCGTGGCGGTAGAGGCATCGATTTCTCGACGCGAAATATGTAGTTCAGTGATGAGTTTGTCGATGGCGGTCAAGTGTGTTGATGTACATCGGGCATTGGGGCCAGTATGCTCGTGCAAATGCAAGAGCCTCATCGAAGGTGTAAAATTTAGTAGGCCATGTGACCATCTTGGGACTGTCCATCGTGGTATGTGTGGATTGATTGACTTACGTATGGAGTGATGGACTTACGTGTGGGTAAGAGGACTTCCTTATCTTGAGACTGTCCATCGTGGTATGTGTGGATTGATTGACTTACGTGTGGAGTGATGGACTTACGTGTGGGTGGGAGGACTTCCTTGTATGTCGTGTCAACGACGGTGCGATGTTTGTAAGATTGTTGGTGTGTACACAGACGTGCACAGTGGTGATGATGGTTTCTTGGGGGGTTGATTGTGGTTTGGTTGAGGTTGGTGTGTCTTACTTTCGTGTGGCTAATATAGGCCCATAACCTGATAGTCACATATAATCACGTAAGAAGTAAGTTTATTTATCCTCTACTGAGGATTTATATAGGACTCTACCGCTTAAGGCGGGAGTCTTATAAATTGTGTTCAAATGTCAGTATAAATGTGACATTTGATAGCTCTAGTACCGGACTGTTCAATTTTCTGACTGTATTTATATTGTAGTTCTGACAAGACCGTTGGCTATGGGAGGACGGGTAGCGGAATCTTTGAGTTGTCGAGAAATAGAGCGACGACGCATTTTGCCTTGAACTGTCGTCCTTGAGGTGGGTTGCAACGTCGGCCAGGGTCGTGAGTAGGGCTGCGGTAGGTGGAACAGCTGTGGACAAAGTACCCTAGGCGGACCTAACAGCGGAATTTAGAACCGGACCAGAGGGCCGGACCTAAGGGGATATTTGAGGACCGGGTCAGATAGAAGTGATGACTCATCTGAAAACATAGAGACGGGCATTTTCACATAAACCTGTTGGTAAAGAAAGTCTCGTTCCACATAGGATCGTGATTAGTAAATATAGCAGGCGCGCCATTCCCAATGGCACTTCTAACTGAGTTCAATCATTTCAGACTCAACATTTCTTATTAAGTGATACTTGGTTTTGACCACATTTTTAAGTGACCGAACTACTGTATTTATTACATTGCGTTCCTCACAGGTTAAGCTAACTAAATTAAATTATTTATGTAATTTTTGTTACACGATGAATGAAGTTCCTACGTGAGCAAGAAAGCCTGTGTTTGATTGTCGAAACGACTGCTTGGAATTCATCTGCAGTCACTATTGCATACTGATGAGGTGGCGACACAATTTTCCTCTGATTTAATACCGGATGGAACGCCAAAGCAGAGGTCTATACTACGCTAGACCACTTTATTACCTGAGACTCAACAATCGATTTCCGCATTGGATAAGACCATACAACATATGAAAGGGGACATCAAGCGGAGCGACAGCTTAAGGCTGATGACATATGTGTAAAACGCTAAGGAGGATATTTTGCTATTTCGGAGTTTATTTCGTACATGGGTTGACTTGTCTGAAGGCAATGATAAAGTCTGGACGGATACGGACCATACGATTGAGAGGGACTCACGAAATATTTTGTCAGGTGCCGACCGAAATCTACAAGTTCTGAACCTACCAGCTATACGCATGGAACAACTTCATAACCTTTGTCCGTCTAGGGCTGAGCCAGCCATCGATGGGCACGAGCTTAAGGACATGATTAATTCATTTCAAATATATGCTGGCGGTTAAAGGAAAACACTGCAAGCTAGTACTGGATAGAACTGACACAGAGTTAACTTGTAACTTTAGGACGACATACTTCGATAGTACAAAAGGTTCAATTTCTAAACGGATATACAACTTATCGAAGGTGGAAGTGATTGCTTGTACACATATTCAACCTGTCGAAGATGGAAGTGATTGCTTGGGCACCAACAGAGATTCGCAAGGAGACTATATAGCGTAGAAAGGATACTTTGATGTAAATTTTACAAATATATCAATAACCGTCGGCATCACATTTCAGGGATAATCAACGCATACGGTGGACATTCGCAGAAAGTCCTTAGAACAAATTTGGCGAATGTCCTTATAACAAATTTGGAAAATATCACAATTTTTCATATTTATGTCTGACGTGACGGCACCTCGACTGGCGGTGGAATAGAGACTGGGCGCCACGCATAAGTTTGCTGATGACGACATTACCTATGCTTAGATTGATTTCAGTCAATACACTCTGAAATGATGTTCGACAGTTACATGCCTTCTAATCATTCGAAAGAGGCATAACGGTACTCACAGTATTGTTTACACAATGTGCTAGCATATACGACGTACGATCATCTGCAAGCCAATGATTACTTATGCTGCAGGCGGCACTGCTGGTTGAATGGTTATATATATATATATATATATATA